CCTAGAGTATGCCTTTTGATATCTGTCCTGGGCTTTTCTGCTGGCACAGGGTGGGGTAGCCATGGGAAACCACTAGGCCCTTCTGCATAGGCACCTGTAAATGCAAGAACAGTGACCCCCTTGGGAGTGTGGGGGGCTCTTGACCAATGGGCAGCTGGGGGTGATGGTTACACGCCCCTCTGTCGCCTTCACTCAGATGGGCAATCTTCCCTGATACGTAATTATTAAGGTCTTTTAAATTCTTTTTCATTGGTGCATTATGAATATATCACAATGAATCTATTTGTGGAATTCACTGTGATATAGTCATACATGCATGTAACCTAATTCAAACAATTTCAATCCTTAGTGCCTTTCCTCTCCCTATTCCATCCCCCCCAGTGGTCCCCTTCCTCTTCCATACTGTTCTTCCTATTATTTCCATGAAGTATATTTTTAAAATTTCATTTCTCTATAGTTTCGCATATGAGAGAAAACATATGACCCTTGACTTTCAGAGTCCAGTTTATTTTGCTGAATATATTTTTCAGTTCTACTCATTTTCCTATAAGTGATATGATTTGATTCCTCTTTATGATGGAATAAAATTCCATTGTGTGTATATTTACTGCATTTTCTTCATCCATTCATTTGTTGACAGACACCAGGATCCATCATGGTGTTGTCTTAACAATGACCAATTTGATAACACCTCTTGGTAGTGGCTCTCCTCTCTTTACTGTTTTAACTTCTCTGCTCCTTCCTCCTGATCCCTGGGACCACATTCCTGAATAACATACTAACACATACGGTTTATCTGGGCTCTTCTTTCTTGGGGTAACCCAGGCCTAGACAGTTAGATTCCTAGTATTGCCACTTTGCTGCTGTGGGATTTAGGTTACATAATCTCTCTTTAAATCTTGCTCCTTCACACCCTCAAGGGGGACCTCTTCCCTAAAGCACCTGGAATCCTGATATCAGGACAAAATGGGCTTCTAGGAAAGAAGGGAGGGAAGAACATTTGTGGGTAGGTGGTTCAGTCAGGATCCTGGGGATAGGAAAGACATAACACATTCAGAAAGAATGGTTGAAAAGAGTTTAACAAAGGAACCATGAAGTGTGGACATGGTTGAGGGAACTGGCAAGGAGAGATAAAGCTCTCAGCAACTAGCCACTTGCAGTGGTTCCTAGCTGCTGTCATCCCTAGGGGGAATGTTGAGAAGCTGCCTGATTGTTAGGATTTGGGGCAGAAGAACTGTCAAGCTTAAGACCTGCAAGAAGGGAGAGGCAGAGGAATCAATAGTCCAAATTCCTTTCTTTCCACCTGCCACCTCTCACTGGTAGTTGGATCCAACTACAAGCCAGAGGACAAGGAAGCCAGACTGATGTCGTCCATACAGAACAACTCCTGGAGCACACAGCAGGAAGGAGCACGGTGAGAAGATGGGCCTGGAGGGGAAGTGGAAAATAGTCTATTGGGAAATGTGCGTCTGTCCTAGTGGCTTCGTCTTAAAGCATGTAACTTCAGTTGTGGAGAGTGGTGAATCATGGCCTCTGACTTTCTCGTGGCTGTGTTATGCTGGGAGCTGCCTGGGCAAAAGTGCAGGTTGAGATGGCCCAGTTGCTATGGTGACACTAGCCTGAGGAAACTCTGCTGAAAGGCCAGAGTTATCAGGCGAGGACTTGAGTTCAGACACTCCCAGGGATGGAGAGCAAAACAAGTTGACCCTAGCGTCTTGCCAGTCCTGTGTCCTTCAGATTGCCTGCTTTGCTGAAATGTTCCCACAAATAACTTTTCTGATACAAACCTATGCAATTAATGGGCTGAGCTAGCTCTGGGTCAGTCTTGTCCCATCAGGGGTTGGCTGTCCCACCTGGCCCCACCTTCTTCTCTCTCTGTCTGTCTGTTTGTTTCTTTTTCATCCCCCATTGCCCCATTCAATAACACAGCCAATTGGTATGGGTGAATTTGGGATTTGATTCTGCCTTTCGACATGCAAACATTTCAGTTAGTCAGAACAGAATGGCCAAAGGTGCCAGAGAGTGGCCCAGTGAGTGCAGAGAGCACCATCTGCCTTGGGCTTCTCCAGTGAGCTTCTTCGTGGAAGTGGGGGGTGTTGGTTGATTCTGTGAGTCAAACAGAGGTGGTGCATTAAAAGAGCTTTCCTATTTTATCTTTTTTTCTGGGGTGGGTGGGAGCAAAAAAGATTTTATTCAATACAATGTTACACTGTATCTACCCCAGAGAACTGGGATCCTGCAGGGAAAAATAGAAAAATGTTGAGACGTGGCCTCAAGCTTCCTGGATTTTACATTCTAGGTGGGAAGATAAATTCTACAGATGAAACAAAATAATAAAAAGTAGAAATCATTTAAATGTTAAACTGTGGGATCCAGATGAATTATAAAGAACTTGATCATGTGAGGAGGCAGTCCAAGTCTGTGGGTGCTCAAGGGGCTCCCACCTGGGTGGGACTAGGTTAAAGCTCTTGTGCATGAGTTTAGAGATCAGGGTGTGCCTGATCAAAATTGGGCAATGGGACTAAAGGGAACATATCATACTTGGCCTCCTGCTCTCTTCCCTTTTGGGCAGGGTCCTTGGATCTCCTTGGCTTAATTATATCTGTTGTAGGCTCATGTGGGGTTTCTCAGGGCCCAGATAGATGAAGGATGATAGGCTGGAGCAGACATTTGGAATCCCTTGCTCTTTGTAGACATTGCATGTGTCCTGGATGGAACAGAAAAGTCATTTGCAAGCCTGCGTCATTGATGCTCCTCTCCAAGACGGGATGTGGGGCTGCTGGTGATGGATGGGAGGTCTGGTGTACTCCACTGGTCTTTCTTTCTCTACACACCCAAGAGGAAGGGAAAGGGTTCAACTCCTCAGCTCTCCCCCACGGATTACATCAGGATTCCATGAAGTGTGTTCTGTGGGACATAAAGAAGCAGGAAGTAATACAAAAAATTAAGAAAAGGTTTCCTTTGCTAAGAAAATTTGGGAAATACTAGATTAAACAAAGTGAATTGGAGTTCTTTATTGCAAGGTCAGTCTGAACCTTAAATGTGATGCTGCATGTTACAAAACTCCCTCTATGGATTATGGTCTTGCAGCCAAAGGAAACTTTGGCTTGACCAAAGAACTTGACCAAACTTGACCAAGAAACTCATTTTTCATGAACACCCAAGAATATCTCTTGGAACAGCATTCTCTAGCATTCCCAGGAACCATTTCAGAAGCATTTAATATGTAGAGAATTTGCCTTTTAAAAGGACCCCACGAGTGAAAGCCAATATTTAACACCATAAGATTTCAGCTATGCAATGGTCTAAATGTTCGGTTCCCTCCCCAAATTCATGTGTTAAAAATCTAACCCTCAAGGTGGAGATTATGGAAGTAATTTGGCTTAAAAACAAAAACCAAAAACCAAAAAACAACCCTCATGAATGTATTAGTGCCCTTAAAAGAGAAACCCAGGGAGCTAGCTAAAGTAAGAGGAGAGACTTCCAAGATGGTGGGAGGTGGGAGATCCCATGGTAATGCCCTTCTCCCTTGAAGAGGCTTCCTCTTCTTCAGCCCCAAACCAACAGTGTATGTTTCATCCTTTTTTTTTTCTCCCTAGGAAGCAGGAGAGAAACCGAAGAGACAGAAATCTGTTTCATTCATATGTATCTTTTCGTTAGGGTTTCTAGTTTAAGCAATTATCTGGCAGCCGTAGCTCAGGTCTGAGAGGAAGGAGACCCCTGGCAGGTTTAAGATGAGGAAGTGTTTTTCTCAGAACCACAGTGCACTCACCAAGAAAAATGCATAAGAACAACTGACTTTGGCTTCCAATAGGAATCTTTGAAGATCATAGACCAACGCTGGGCCACTGGATTAGATGTCTTCAGTTGAATTCAATGAAGTCGTCCCCATTCTTGCGTCACAAATGATTGAACACTAGTAATTTTGTATAATTCAGTCGATAACTGGCAAAACATTTATGTAAAGTCCAGAAGGAGGTGGGGCAGGGTGTGTCTGATAGAAATGGTCTCCCTGCTGATGGAAAGGTGGAAGAGGACAGGTCTTTTGAGCGTATTTCCAAGGGGTGAAGGATGTTATTAGGATTTTATGAGTGATCTATATTCCAGGAAATAAAGGTGGAGGTTTCGGGACTGACTCCGGGAATCCAGAATGCAGGGATACTGGGTGCAACTCTGGTCTCCAGGAGTGAAGCCTGGGAATCTTCATCTGACGGTGCGCTAAGTCATGAGGACTCAGAAATGAGCAAGAGTGGAACAAAGGAATCAATATTATTAGAGACTGAGCCCAGGCTTCAGGATTGTGGCTTTGTCCTCTCTTCAGCCTATCCCTTTGTCTACACACTAAATACAACAATCCAAAGTGGTGGGTGGTAGGGCTGGGGGAGGGGAGCATTCAGAGAGAGATAACATGGGGGAATGTGGTCAGCTCCAGGGCTTGGCGTGAGAAGTCTCCGTGCCCATGCCCTCAACTAGTCCTTTTGGAGGACAGATGAAGCTGTGGTAATGACAAGCTTTCACGTTTTCATAGTACTTTACAACTTACAAAGCAGCCCACGGATGTTATCTTATTTACTTTGATCAACAAACACCCTAAGCAGGAGGAATTGCGATTCCAGTTTTCCACTTTAGGAGACTTGGCTTAGAGAGCAAATTCCCCAAACATGGTAATTGGCAGAATCAGGCACAAACCCGTGACTTGGGTGTCCAGATGCAATATTGCTCTGCTTTGACCCCATGGAGGCAGATGGGGGCCATCACACTGTGAGAAAACCCTAAGACAGAGCCATTGTTCAAGTATGACAGGTGCCAGGCAGGTAACAGTCATGGATGAAGCTGGATGTGGGACAGGGGAGTGGTGGGGACTGTGGCTTGAGACTGCTGACCAACACCCTGCTAACAGGAGTCATGACTGCCCAGCTCCAGGTGGTCACAGCCAGGGACAAATGCCAGTGCTTTTTTAAAATTTCTTTTTTTATTTTTTAGAGAAGCTGGAAATTCAATTAAACAAATACTTATTGAATGCCCATTATACATCAGACACTGGGAATAAAGCTGTGAATAAAACCCAGAGAAAACCTCTAGATTTTTATATGAACTTGTCCAAATTTTAAGTGTTAGGAACTAATAGAAAATTTAGAAAACATTGTGTAGGCCAAGCAAAACACATCTGTGGGCTGCGTTAGGCCTGCAGGCTGCCAGTTTGTGACTTCAGTTCGAAGACTTTGATGGAGCAAGTGTTCTCTGAAGAGGGGAGTGTGTGGAACGGGCCACTAGGGCCAGGGGAAATATTGTTAACACTTCTATTCATTTTTTTTTTCCAATGTCACCTTTGAAAAGTTTTCACTTTGGGAAACACTGTGATGTATAGATAACGGATTTACACATAGCACATGCATATCTTTATAAGTATTTAAATCAACATTATTGGTATATGTTGGAAATAAAGTGGTCAGAATACTTTCATTGATAGGGATATGGATCAAGGTCACTGTAATAATCTTTGGAAAGTATGTGTTTGTACGACTTTGCCCCAAAGAAGGTTAAAGCTGTCTCCAGCTCAGCAGGCAGAGGATGTTTGAGAACGTGAGATGGAGACAGGATATCTATTCCAGCACTGATTCAACTCGACCACCCTCTGTTCCTTCCACCAGAGCACTGTCCTGCCCTGAGTGAAAGCTGCAGACCCTTCTGAGTGATGAGGAAATCACTGGTGATGGGTCCCACGCAGGGTGGACCAACATTTCAACCTCCATGGCCAAGGCTGGGGGTGCCATGGTCCTCATTGTTGTTACTTACTATGCTCCTGAGAGGTACATGTGAGGACACAGCTGTGCTGGAGAAGACTGAAAGGTGATTTAGTAATCACTCTGACGTGTCAGGAGGGTATTGGAAGAAGGCAGAGGGACAGTCACTCTTCAGTTATCCTGAGGGCAAAACAGGAAGAGACGTGGAGAGGTCCTCAGCTGCTGAAGAAACTGGTAAGATGTGGGATTAAGAGTTCTCTGGCCCACAGGGTAGAGCCTTGGGCTAAGACTCAAGGTGTCCTAGGTTCTAATTTGGGCTGTCTCAACCTAGCTATGTGACTGAATATACTTCATCTGACCTTTATGCTTCAGGATCCTCATCTATAAATGGCAACCAGGATTTTTACTTTATTTACCTGACATAATTGTCCTAAGAGGCAAGTATAGTACTGTGCACATTTTGAAGCCAAAAAGAATGATTAAAATAGAAATGAGCTTAAACTGAAGAAACTTAGGCAAGATTAAAAAAAAAAAAAGAAAAAACTTCTCCTGTAGAGGAGGGTTAAAAAAAAAAAAAAAGAAAAAAAGATACTATGCAAACAACCTCAAGAAATGTGGGGCTGGGGATATAGCTTAGTTGGCAAAGTGCTTGCCTCACATGCACAGGGCTCTGAGTTCAATTCCCAGCACCACAAATAACCAAGAAATCAATGTGAAAGAATTTTGATTGAGCAATAGAGGATACAGACTTGGGTAGCTGGGTAGTCAGTGCCTAAGCCATGGATCTTGTTCTATATGTAAATTGCTACTCAACATTGAGGGAAGAAGTTATTTTGCCTCTCTGGGCTTCAGTTTCCCCTTGCAAAACAGAATCAATTTTGAACTAAGGGCATTTGAGTAAAGTCTCATTGTGTTGAGTGTTGAGTCCAGCCTGGAAGCAGGGATCCAGCAGGCTTTGAATATTCATGCTGATGACCACTGTGTTGACTGATGGACTCAAAACACGTCCAGCTGCCAGGTGAACATCTCAACCTGGATGTCCAGCAGCCATCTCATCCAAAGAATTAGAGTTGTCCCCTCTCCCTGAAATGATCCCCTTGCCGCCTGCTGTATCTCAGGATCAAGATAGCTACTCCAGAGGTCTCTCTTTCTCCCTCAATTTCAAACACAGCCTGCATCCCAGTGGCTATCAGGTCTTGCTATTCCACCTTCCAAATACTCCCCGAATCTCGTTTCTTCCCTGACCAACTTAGTGCAAGCCACCGTGCATCTCAGCTGCCTCTCTTATTATAAGCCCACTCTTGCCATTTTATGCTATACTTTTCACACAGTAGTAAGAGTAAGCTCTTTGTCCTTTTGTTCATCAAATACCTTCCAATCACATGTGGAATAAAGGCAAAGGCCTTGACTCAGCCGCTGAGGTTCCTGCCCTGTGAACTCTGACCTCATTTCCTGCCACAGGCTGCAGCCATTTTGGCTGTTGGTCCACATGCTGGGCTCATCTCAGGGCCACAGTGCTTGCTGACCTTCCGCTTGGGGCATTCTCCTTCCAGATCTTTTCTGACTCCTTCCCTTGCTCCTTTCAGGTGGTAGCTCACATGATGAGGCTTGACTGTCTCCCAGCTCCTAATCCATCCATCTCTCACCCTCGCCCTGATTCCTTTCTCCTTAAAGCTCTTCCCACTGCCCGACAGTGTCTTTGGTCTTGTCGACTTGTGCATTTTTGTCTTTTTTCCAAAAAAATCTGCCCATAAGGGCAGATATTTTCCCCATTTTAAGGACAATTATATTCACTGTGGTGTATTATCAATGTGCAGTAAGTATTAACTAAATGAATAATGAATCAAGGAGGAGAAACTGACCATGGACTTCCCTAGAGAGGTAGGAGAATTAGGGACATGGGTTTGATGGCTGGGTAATGCTATGCCATCTTGCCAGGGTGGTGACATTTGAGTAGAGAACAGGTCTCTGATACTGGAGACCAGTTGTCTCTGCCTTGTGGCCCCATTCAGTTCCTGAAACTAGGGTTTCTTTGCTCTCCACTTTCTTCTCTTTAGGAGGCACTTGGCTGAGCTCCAGGGATTATATGTGGCTTCTTCTCCAAGCCACTCGCTCTTGATGTTGTAAAATGACCATGCAGATTCTCCACCTCCTGGTGGCCAGCTGCCAGCCTGTGAGAGCTGACACTTCTAGCTCAGACCGGTTTAGAGAAGGTGGACTCTTTCTGAAAGAACTCCCTTTCTTTGCTCTGCATTTAGAGAAAGTGCAAAGCAGACCCCTACCCTGCCCTCTGCGTAGTGCCTTGGTCCCTTCTCTTGGCTTGTGGCTCTAGACTCACCCCACAGGGAGAAGGAGGTGGAAAGTGGTATGATTCCTATCCTCAGGGCTCAAAGCAAAAGTCATGCTGGATGTTGCAGAGTGACTGTCAGAAAATATTCAGATGATGGTGTAGTAATAACGATGCCATCTTCTCCTCAGTGAGCGCTTCCTGTGCTCCAGGTGGAGGGCTACCCTCTTCAGGTATGTGAGCTCCTTTGGTTCTCACAATGGTCTTATGAGGTAGGTACTAAGATTTTTATAGATGAGAAAATAGAGACAAAGGTTAAGGACCTTACCGAAGTTACTAAGGCTGTGTGTGTGTGTGTGTGTGTGTGTGTGTGTGTTGGGGTGTGGACTGCAGGTCTCTGTTCCAGATGTGTGTGCCTGCCTCACTTGAGAGATCCCACACATCCCTGCAGATCAGTTCCTGAGGCTGAGGACAGGGCAGGCACAAAGAAAGGCCCAAGCAATTTTTCCAATGTTTTCACCCCTTAGTTCACTCCAGGAGGACCCCGGTCAACTTCAGAGCAAAGTTAACAGGTTTATTTTGGGAAATTGATTTCTAGAAGAATATTAAATTGGGAACTACTAGGTGTGATAAAGCTAGACTGGACTTGGCAGGATAATTTATAGGTTGACATTTATCGCACATCTTTCAGAGAGGTCTACATCATACTGCCCGTTCCTAAATTTAATTGACTAGAAAACATGTATTTCCTCCCATGAATATCTTGGGGTCTACAGTTCCATGAACACCCTGGAAACACTCTAAAGTATTCACTGACCTAAAATGATGGCTTGAGCATTTCTCTTTCCATTCTTTTATTCATCCTACTTTCCCTATCAGGAATTCATCCATCTATCCATCTGTCCACCCAATCATCCATCCATCCATCCACCCACCCACCCATCCATCCCGTGAACACCTTCCATGTTCTAGGTACCATATAAGGTATTTCCTCATCTTATTCATTCTTACCATAAGCTACTTTTATAGATGCAGCAGAGAATCGGCAAGGCCACAGAGTTGAGCAGAGAGGGCTACAATTACCCCCAATTTTCTGATCCAGATCCCCTGAGTTTTCTTCTATTATTCAGGCTTTTTTCCCCATAGTTGATTATTTGCAACTCAAACCTTATTTCCTTTTGAAAGTTATTTTTCCTTTCCTTCTTACCTGCCCTGTGCAGAAATCTCTTTCCTCCCTTGAACTCTCTTCTACTGTCTCTGCTAGAGTTTGGCACCCACTTCATCAGATTGCTAGTTAAAGAGTGTGCGTGTGTGTGTGTGTGTGTGTGTGTGTAAGTGGCATTTAAGCCAAGCATACATCATCTCCTTTAATTGGCACATCAGTCTTATGAAGGAGATATCATTAGCTTCCTTTTATAGATGAGAAAACTAATGCATAGGAGGCCCAGTCACTTGTCCAACATCACAAAGCAAATCAGTGGTGAAGCCAAGACTTGAACCAAAATATTTTGGCCTCAGAACCCACATTTCTTCTATTACTTTATGCTGCTTCTACCTGGTTCAATCCTTGTTCCATAGCTGAGAAAACTAAGGCTCAGAGAAAGTAAGTAATTAGTCTCCCAAACATGGCTTATGAGTAGCCATGCTGGGACCTCCTGCAAAGGCTCACTTTGGGGGAACCTCTTCTTCCAGCAGGCTTCCTCCCAGGTTTAGTACAGGTCCCAGCTACTACTACCAGTCAGCTCCTAGATACCCTGGAAATTGTACCTTGTAGCTCCTGATGAGACAGACTGAATTTGGGGACCCCTTTTGAGTTAAGAACAAATGTCCTCATGTTGAGAGGAGGAAACTAAAGGTCTGTGATCGCCCCATGCTAAAAGGTGACAAAGGAGGAGGAGAGTCAAGGAGAGCCAGAGCAGAGATCCTGCCCCCTCCCAACACGGGATAACTAAATCTACACGTGTGCTTCTCCTGCCCCTTGCCACTTCCCTGCCTCTTCTTTAAAACTTCTGCTAATTTTCAGGGATCTTGGTGATGCGAATTTCGAAACAATAAGTTTCTTCCATCTTCCTTCAAGCTGGGCTTTGCATTAAACCTATTTTCCTACCAATTTGACTCTGAATGTCTCTGGAGCAGAATGCATGTGGTCTCGCCTCTTCTTCAGGGGGGATCTTGTGCTACCTGGTAACACAGAGACAGCAGGAGCCTGGTAGCCTGCTCCCTGGGGAAAGGCCAAGGAAGGTCAGCCTACCAGCTTGCACACCCAGCACCTAAAATAAACCAAGCATCAACCCCAACGGAAACCAGGCAGCCAGCCCAAAAGAAACGACATAACCTTCCAACAGCCCAGGGCCAGATGGGCTTCCAAATCCCCAGGTTCCTTTGGTCCAGCTCCTAGAAAAGCACAAATGCACTTAGGGGCTGCAGCTTCACCCTCTTCCTTAAAAAAAAAAAAAAAAAAAAAAAAAGACCTCCTGGTACTCTGGTTCTAGAATTGTGGGCTGGCAGGAATTGAGGGAGCTAAGCCCCAACAGACCTTTGGAGTATTATGTAGACAGGGCAATGAGTATTTGAATACTCATCAGAATCACTGGAAGAGTTTTAAAAGTCACCCCAGACCAACACCATCAGCATCTCCGGGAAGAGGGCCTGGGAATGGGTATTTATTTGAACATGTTTTAAGGTCAGTCTGTTCTGATTCAGGTTTGTGGACCACCATCCCTGATGCTCCTTCCTGGCCATCTCCATTTTGGTCTGCTCGACTACCATCTCCTATTCTCAATTCTTGCTTGGCACATGATTATTTTGTAAGTTTTAAATTCAAAATTGTCCATATTCATGCATTGTGGGTTGGCATGGTTAAAAACACCCAGTGGGGTTTCTGTTATTTTTTAGAAAGGCAATTTTAAGTTTTCCCATTAAATTGAAGTTTAGGAGGGTTCTGTTTTGCAAAAGGAGTCAGTGCTGAAGAATGTGGCTGCTTCAGAAGCCTGTCTCCAAGGCAGTCTGTGAGAGTTCCAGGTTGCTGGGGTGACCGCAGCTGGGAGGCAGCTATTGTATTTAGATGTCTTGCACTTAATTCCCTTGCCAGCAGCTGGGAATACCTGTTGGAAGAGGAGAGCTTCTTTCCCTCTGATTTAAGAAGAGTATGGAAAGTTTCTTTCCTCCAGCTCCAAAAGGAATCAGGGGTCTGTGTTGGCTGCAGAGGGGATCATCTCTTTCTGCTTGTTCCCAAGGTGAAGAAAGAGGACCCAGATGGGACTGGGACCTTCCTAACCAATCAGAAGAGGAAAAACCCAACTAAGGCAGTTCCTTCATCGAGCTGAAACAGACCTGGCTTTGCTTATCTCTAAGGATGTTAATGGGCAGAGAGCCCTCTGTGACCGACCAGTGGAACTGAGTAAATGCAAAATGGCCACCTACATGACCTCTGATAGACCCCAAGCCTGTATGCTAAGTAACACCCACCCCCCCCCCACAAGAGTCCTGACAGTTGACAAATGTCTTGACTTCGGACAGAAAGAGCCGTAAAAGGAACAGAAAGAGGTGGCACCCTAATTCCTGAAAAGTCTCTATTTATTCCAAGAATAGACATGAGTATTCTTCCCCTTTATTGCCTATCCTTCTCTTTCGTCTTTCACCCTGTATCCATGACTTCGCCATCCCTGAATGCAGAGGACTTGAATCGTGAGCTAGACTCTAATTCTCAGTCCTTTGATTGCTGAATAAACTTGCGCTACAGGTACTCAGTGTTGGTTTTATCTTCGTGACAGCAAACAGAAAAATTATCCCTGTTGGGGGATGTATTTCTGCCTCTCTTAGGAGAGGGGCCAACAAACTGTGGGTAACAGGGAAGCCCTGGATGGAGGTCGCCATCAAGCTGATGGAAACTCTGGGAAGCTCAGCTTTTTACCCGCAGAGGATTTGCTCCCATTACAGAGGTTTGGGGGAGGTAGTTTGCAGCACCTCACTGGAAAGAGCCTTGGATTCCATCTGTGCCTCCTAGCTACAGAGCAGGCTGAGGAAAGGAAGAGGAGGAGAGGTCTATCTCTGGTGGAATGCCTACCACAAGGTAGGCATTAGAGTCATCGTGTTCGTTGTAGGGAGACAAAAACGACTACGATAGAATTTGTATTTGCAAGGAGTTCATTGTCAAGAGGCAAGCATGGAACCAGGGACAGATGGCAGGGAGTGGTAGTTTTACTTTCCAGCTGGATTGTTGTGACTGGGGAGTGTTGTCTGCTGTGGGGGGGGGGATGCATGCCACTTGCCACGTCTGAATCTAGACAAGCCATGCCGTGATTTCCGTTGCTCTAGAGAGCTGTGCCTGGTGCACTAGGAATGGCTGGGGGCGGGGGGGCTTCTGAAGAAGCTGCCCCAGGATGAATGAGGGCCTCTAAGAGGCAGGAAAGGGGAAGCAAGTCTGGGCAGAGGGCATGGCCATTCCAGGGTCAGGAGACCTTGCCCTTAGGTGAATTCAGAAAAGCTTCCCTTTTCATATCCTGACAGTTTTAGCAATATCATAAAATAGACCAAATTTTTTTTTTTGGGGGGGGGTTCCCATTTTTGAATCCTTTGAAAACTTCTTCCCTTTGTCTTCAAGCAGATTTATTCTTTCTTTCATGGAGAATAACTGTCTGACAAATAAGTTATACCAATAAAGGTAATTAAAATCATTCTTGAAAGGGGTCTATTTAAAAAGATGAGGAGAGAAGAGAGGAGAAGAAGAGAGAGAGAAAGTTTAAGTCTTAAGCTGACTGTGGTGGTGCACAACTGCAATCCCAGTGGCTCTGGAGGCTGAAGTAGGAGGCTCCCAAGTTTGAGGCCAGCCTTAGCAACTTAGGCAGACCCCATCTCAAAGTAAAATATAAAAAGGGCTGGGGATGTAGCTCAGTGGTAGAGTGCCCCTGAGTTTTGTCCCCAATACCAAAAAACAAAAAGCCAAAAATACCAAACCCAACAAACAAGAAAACAATGCTTAACCCAATACAATGGTGTTGGAGATCCAGATAGCGTTCACCTGGCTGGGCTAGGGGTCAGCAAATTTTTTCTGGAAAGGACCAGAGAGTAAATATTTCTAGCTTTGCAGGCCAGGCAGTTTCTGTCGCAAGCACTCAGCTCTGCATTGCCTTGCACACTCTAGAACAGTCAGTGGCAGTATGTGAGGGGGAGTGGCTGTGTTCTCAAAAACCTTTATTTATGGACACCAATTTGAAATTCACTGTTGACTTATGAAATGTTATTTTCATTTTCATTTTTTTCCAATCATTTAAAATGTTAATAAGATTCTTAGCTCGTGAACTGTATATACAAACACCGGATTTGCCCACAGGCTACCGCTGGCTAAGACTTGGCTTCATATCACAACCTGAGATGAGACGCTCTCTCTGGGGGAGGTCACTGTATATGTGGGGATTCTCTTTGTATAGCCTGGCATTTCTTCCTTTCTTCCAGCAAGGCTTATTGAGGTTCTGCTGTGTGCTGGGGCTGCTCCATTGCTGGGGATTCAGAGGTGGGGGTCTGCCCTCATGGAAATGTGCATTTCCCCGGCCTTGGTGGGAGGATTTAGGTACTGGAGGTGAGCATCTGGATTTTGGTCTCAGTGCTTGCCTCCCTGGACTCTTGGAGGCTCTGCTTATTATTTGCCGTGCTAAGCAGTGGTATTGAGCACAGGTCCCTAACTATCAGCTGCTGGGAGTTGCATGGCATGCTTGGAACTAATGCCCTGGAATGGCTTTAGTGTTCTAAATTCCCAACTAAATGTCCAGCCAAAAACTAAAAATGAATAAAATAGCATAGAACCCAAGACCTTAGGGCCCCATGTACTCTGGCACAGAGTTCCAGTGGGATTCTGGGATGGTTGTCAAGAGCCGTGGCTGCTCTTGGACTTTCCCATGGCCTATTCCAAGACAACTAGTGATCTGCAGATGTTCCCTAGGACTGGGTCGTGGCAGAAGCATATTGCAGTAGCAGCTACTGCTGCTGCCAGGGCCAGAGGTCAGTCTCCTGTGGCCTCTGGGAGTGGCCCACCTCCAGCTCCCACCCATTCCCAGGCAGGTGATTGAGAAGCCCTGTGAATTCCTCTTTTGAAACTGTTTCCCTCCATGATGTAGGGAAACAGATATGACTGCATTGAGATAGAGGAGGGGCTATACCATGAGCGGGGGAAATTGCTCCCACGGTTTACAGGGCATCCTTTGTTGATGCTACAGGGCGGGGGTGGGGAATGGAGCCTGGAGAGAAGAGGACAGAAAGATAAGGGAGCCTGGGGAGTTTTGTCTTTCCTCTGAAGTACAAGGGTGAGAGAGAAAGAACAGTTCAGAGGAAAGACAAAAACCGCTGCAAAACTTAGTGGTTTAAGACAAAAACATTTCTCACAGCTCTGTGGATTGGTGGGGCTCTGCTAGGTGTCGGTTTTCCCTGGGGGGGGGTCTCTGGTGCAATTGTAGTCAGAGAGCAGGTGGGGCTGGGTCATCTGAAGGCTTGGCCAGGCTGAATATTCAAGATAGGTCCTTGACTCACCATATCTGGCCTTTGGGTCGGGTTGACAGCAGTAGGTGGAAGTTGGCTAATTGATGTTCTCTCTTCACTTGGCTTCTCACATGTCTTGTGTGGTCTTCCTTATGTCATGGGGAGCTCAAGATTGTGGGACTTCTGTCAGGGTGGCTTTCTCCAGTGAGCAGGAAGGAGGAAACTACCAGTCGTCTTCAAGACTGGACCTAGACTGGTCTAGTATCACTTCTGCAGTGTCCTGTTAGTCAAAGTGATGGGCACCAGCCAGCTCAGGTTCTAGTACCTGGAGCATTAGGGTCGATCTCTCCCAGGGGGAATAGCTGGTGTGCACAGGGAGTGAAGGGATTGATCATGGCTCTCTTGGAGATGAGGTAAGCCTTGGAGATGGAAAAGCCTGGTGTGTGAGCGAACCAGGAAGAGGGCCAATGTTGGTGGACCACCATGAAGGTGGCTCAAGATGAGGCAGATGTGGGAGGCAGACTGGGGTCCTCATAGGTAAGCTGTGGCAGGGAATCTCGGATATTTTTGAAGTGTCATAAAAGGCTTAGGTGTTTTCTTTCCAAGGGCTCATCATCCTGAGGCTCCATTCTTTCCTTCTCCTATCTGTCCCTACTTGTTACCAGTAAATTATCCTTAAGCTCAGTGCTGGCCTTGGGGCTTCTCGGGCTCCCCAGATTTCTGAACCAGGCACAGATTTCCCAGCTCAGCTTTTAGGATTCTCCAATAAGTTGGCACTTCACACATTTTTTTCTTATACTTTTGCTCGATTAGTCAGATAGGACCTCTTGCTCCCCTAGGAAGTGACTTTTATCTCCCTGTCCTCATACCTTGTCACATTGGTCATTTTGCCCTGACTGCCCTCCCACGACTCCATCTCCATTGGTCAAAATCCTGCCCTGCCTTTCAAACTTACCTTGAAGGCTACTTTCTCTAGCTGAGTGTGCTGCTCACTCCTGGGAAACCTTGTTCTTCCTCATTCAGAGCAGAGTCAATGTTTGGAAAGGGCTGCTCATGCCTCTGTCTTACCCTTTCCTTCACACACCCCTCTCCTGGTGCCTCTAGGTCTTTGGGGAGGGCAAACACGATGGCCTCACTTTTTCTGCCCCACCGCGCTGGGCCTCACCCCCAGCAATCATCGGTTATGCCTGTTGAATTAAACAGTGGTTTCTCTGGGCCACCAGCCTCCAATTGTCTCTCTCCTTTCCCATGGCAAATTGCAGCATTCAGCTCCCAGCAACTCCTGGTCCGTGGCCCCAAGGTTCCTGGCAGACCTTTTCTGCAGGACCAGGGGGTTGCTGTTCCCACACGACCAGGCCTGCACAGGCCCAAGCTGGGTCCCAGGGAGATGGAGAACTTCTGATTCCACGGGGTCCCCTGGCTCCTCTTGTTCCAGTGCCTTGCACTTGTTTTCCTTGGCAGGAGGACGGCCTCGCTCACCACTTCAGCTTCCATTTATAGGCATATATGCATCTTTGTTATTCTTTTCACAAAATGAGTGTTCTCGGCTCAGAAAAGGAGGAGAGAAAGTCGAAGTCTGAATAAAGCTGAGAAGGCATTTCACATAAAGCCCCCAGGGCTTTCTGCAACCTCCGTCCATATTGGAGGATAGACGACCTTCTTCCTGCCAGACTCCTCTTCCATCTATGTCTCCAGCCTGTGCCACTAGCTCCTCAGACTTTCCTGAGGGGCTGTGATGGGTGACAGGAAGGCCAGGGCATGGGCAAGAGATGTAGCCAAGACTCTTATTATCCAGACAAGAAAAGGACTGTGCCCCCCTGGCTTGAGTTCATGTCTATACAGTCCTTGGGACTTTCATATGACACCCAGGATGTTCTGAGAACAAGGGACAACCTTGGTGGGCTCCAGTTTGTCTCTCAGTCAAGCTACACCTATATGCAAAAAGGAGGACTAGCAAGAGCAGTCATTTATATACTGCCCTCGCTCTACCTGCCAGGGTTCCAAACAGTTGACCTACAGTAGCTCATGTAATCCTCACAATAACCCCATGAACTAGTGCTATTATTATCCCCATTTTGCACACCAGGAAACTGAGGCAGAGGAAGGCAAGTCACTTCCCTTTGGTCACACTGATGGTCAGAAGCACGGCTAGGATCTGAGTCCAAGGAGGCTTGGCTCTTGAGTTGGCCACTGGCAAAGCTGCTGTAATCACTCATCAAATTAAGATGTTTACATAACCCAACAGGGTCAGCTCAGTCCCTCTCACATACCTGAGGTGCTGGAAAGGACAGTGTGTCTGAGAGTTGTGGGCAGGGGCCTGGACAAGTCTGAACCAGTTCTCGGCACAGGTAATTCAATTTGGTTCAAATTTTGACGTTCCCACAGATTTCTGTTTCTCAGACTAGCTTTGTGCGCCTGTTTGGAAGGGTAGATTAGCACAGGGATTTATTGGTGTATCCAAGAGCAACCTGCTTCTCTTGGCTCTAATTCATGGCCTGGGAATTCACTAAGTGGCCAATTAATTCATTTTCTTCTCCATTCATTCTTCCAACTTTGA